AGGGACGGTCCTGTTTCTTAAACATAGAGAAATTATAGAACTCTGCAAATCCACCTTCTGAATTTCTCTTGCCACAGAAGTCCATGTATTTGGTTCTAAATTTTCTATAGGGATGAACAAAATGTAGTTGACTCATTTTCAGCTAGTTAAGCTTCTTTATGTTTTGTGGTGCCATGGAAACAATTGCAGAACAGTTGTCAGAACGATTACATTTTCAGTCTGGTCATGAATATTGCTAGATAGGTGACCCTAATAATTCATCGAGCATCTCCACTCTTAGTTCTCTTTTCTGTAAAATCAGTAGAATCAACTCTATTTTTTTAGGATTAAGGATTATCCAGAAGAAAATAAATGCTTAAAAAATACAGGTTCCTTTCCCAACTTCCCAACTCAACCTCCCCTTTATATATGAATAAATACCGTATTTTTCTGAATGTATTCATCTGCTTTCTAATCACATGTGAAGGCTCTCTAGAATTTCTTTTCAGAGTCACTCTTTTCTGTAAGGTTCATTTAATTTATTTGAAAGGCAGAGTGATAGAGAAGCACTGAGAGAGAAAGAGAGTCTTTCATCTACTAGTTCTTTGGTTCACTCCCCAAAATGGCTGCAATGACCTGACCAAGACCTGGACCAGACTGAAGACAGGACTCTAACTCTGTCCAGGTCTCCAACATCAGGGACAAGGTACAAGAATCTAGACCATCTTTGGATGCATCCTGAAGAATGTTGATAAGGAGCTGCATTAGAAGCAGAGTAGCTGGGACTCCCCACACTCTGACAATGGGATGCTGATGTCGCAGATAAAGTTGGCGCATCACAGGGCTGCCCCCTCACTGTGAATTGTTTTTTAAAAGCTTTCAGAAACTATGTGTTGTCTATATAGTGTCTGTCAATTAAAAAGCAGACTTTTCTTTTGTAAACATTTTCAACTTAATGATGTACTTTTCTTCACATAAAAAAAAATCAGTGATCCATTGCCATTTATTGATAATTTTTATACATACTGGTCTCTGCAAGATTATTAGGATTGGGAGATGATGAGGAGAAGTCTTCAGCCTAAATTATCATGGTAATATATTTAGGCCAACAGTTTGCCAAAGGGGAAAAAAAGGAGAGAAGCAGGAGCAGTGGAAGGCAAGGGAAAGGCAGAGAAGGAGAAGCAACTTGGGAGAGAGGCAGAGAGGAAGAGAGAGAGAGAGAGAGAAGGGCAATGGAGGGCTTGTGTCTTGACTTGACTCTCCTTTGTTTTTTCTTTTCCTTCTTTCCTGTTTTCTGTTCCCCTTCCTCCATCATTTCCTCCCCCTTTTTTTCAGTTCATTGACGGCAGCAAAATGATGCAAGGATCGTCAATCACCCAGGCACACCGTCCAAGTCTCGCCAAAAGCCAGCTGCAGCTGTTTCCCCTCTGCTGGACATTTTGACCACTTTGACTTCTGCTCTACTTTGACATTTTTGGCCACTCCAGTATCTTTCTGACTGCACCTACTTACAGGAGCTCAAGTAAGACCAAGTAGTACATGAAACTGTTGTTAGCACAGAGAATTCCCAGACAGAATATATTGTTATTTTAAGCTACTAAGTTTGAGGCTGATCTGCTAACACACAAACAGAAAAGCCTTGGTTCTTGGTAGTAGTTTAATATGTTTGCAGGCTCTCACCAGACATGGTATTAAAATTCTTTTTAAATGAATGGATGTGTTATATTTATCAAGGTAACATTTATGCATTTAACATTCAGCAAATGAGGGCACTCAACATAAAATTAAAGTTTTTCATGATTGCAGCGTTTTGTACTACTCCAATGTAACAAGGTCCAGGAAAAACATTTCCCCTCCACCTCCTTTACCCTCCTACTCTACTCCAACTCCGACCCATGCCTCATTTTTAAATAATATGTAGCAAAACCTCAATTAACTTCAGGCCATAATAATTGAGATCCAGATTTACTGTTAACTCAGCTTCAGTGAAAACACATTTGGTTTCATTATGTGCTGAAAAATTTTGTTGGTTACAATTCCACTTTACTGACTTAAAAATTAACAAATTCACTCCAAATTTTGCTGATTCTAATTTTCTCTACCAATTATATTTATGATTAATTTCCTGATGACAACAAGTCTGCTTTTTACATGAAAGAGCAATCTTGGGGAAATCAGTTCAAATTTGTGTTTGTAAAGCAAAATTAATTGTCCTCATTTTAATGACTAACAGTCCTAGAATACTTTTCTGTATATATATATTTTTTAAATAGCTAAAAGATAAGTTTTGTTTTTGGATTTTAGAAGACTTTCTGAGTTCCTGAGTGACTTTGCAATTTATAAGGCAAAAAAAGAGGTAAATAAGCATACCAGAGAAAAATTTGGATGGCAATGTAGGAAGCCTGTTTAGTTATTTTAAAACCCAACAACCTTAAATACTTGTTTATAATTCTGACATTAATTAAATCCATAACTTTATAAAATCTAGTTGCTTTTAATTCAACAACTTACTTTAGAATACCTATTACCCACTTCTTTACAGTCATTTGTCACCGTCTGAACTGCATTTCTCAAATGCAAACTGAGTAAGATCATGTGTAAATGGAAACAAGAGAGGAGTTGCCATAATGGTAGAGATTTATTTATAATTTCTAGCTTTGCAGAAATATTCATTTTTTAAGAAGAGTTAAATTAAAAAGTCATATGAAGAAAAGAACTTGGCAGATCTGGCACATAATAAATGTCTGATCAATATTTCTTAAATATATGGAAACTAAATAAAAGTTGTTTTATCTTAAATGATGACTAATAGGATTGTGAAATGTTAATAAGTGAATAAATGTATTAAAGCTTCATCTTAAACCTTACCGACAGTGTGTCCTTTGTGTACAGAAATATTTGTTGAATAAGACAATGACTTGATCATGACTTTGTCCTGCATATCACCTGCTTCCTGGTATTACCAACTCAAATACTCTGATGACTCTTGGTATGGCTTCCACAAAAGGATCAGAAATTTCTGAGTAATATTTTTAGAATGATACAGGAGAGATTTTTGCAGAGTATAAATTTACAGATAGGAAAACCATCCAATTAACTTAATAAATATTATCAACGATGTCTTCTGGGAAGTTGTGATGAACAGAAAAGGAAAGATACAGTTAATAATGCTACAAACCTTTATATCTTTCTATACAAATAATCCAGAGATTATGTTTGAGTGAAGATACATCTGACTTGAGAATTAGCAATATTTCCAGCTATGAAAATGAGGAAAATCTATGAAGTCACCACTCAGGAGGAACTACAGAGAAGTCTTCCCTTGCCATTGCTTCTTGCCAAGGTTTTCTCTGCCAATGATTCCATGTTTGAGCTGTTAAGAAGATACTCATGTTCAGCTGAAGATTTTCCTTCATGCTTAGTTCAAAGACTATGAATTTCTGTTTGGGAATGGAGGAAAAATCATCTTAATATGGTCGGTACTAAATCTGATCTATTAGAAGACAATAAATGAAATAGATACAAATAAGACATGCATTCAAAAACAGCATCTAAGAAGTTATGCAGGCATAACAGGCATAGTCAGCACAGTGAATATTGTCTGGAAGATGCCAAAGTTTGAAAAAAATACGCTGCATTCATTGTTTTGAATGAATGTGAGTCTGTAATGTTATAGGTATATAAAAGAATTTTGAATGTTTAGTATCACCTAAAACTTGCACGTAGCTCTGACAGGAAGTCAACTTGTGGCCAGGCCACTTGTGAACTACCTTCTCCTTTATCCCTGCTCACTGCTTTATGCCAAAGGTATTTTGGATCATGTGGAATTTTATTTGAGATTTGCAGTTGCTTCATAAGGAAAAAGAAGTCTTTACCAATATCACAACTATTTGTCAATTTATTTACTGACATTGTTTAGAATCAACCTGCTATGTATTGAATTATTCTACAGATGTGACATATTCAAAGAACCTTAAGATTTGCCTCTGCCTTCAAATGAGTGCAGTCCAGTTGAGAAGCAGGTCTTAGAGATGGGTTGGAGTTTCAGACCCTAACATGTATGTCGTCAGATGACATGCAGTCCACCTCTATCTGTATGGGGTTCAGTCTGTGTCATCCAGAATTTCAGATCAAGACCCATAAGCAGGGTCTAAGAATTCCTAAGTAAGGTTTACTGCAGTTTGTCATAGTGCAAGCTCAAAATCACCAACAAGGCACAGGCTGAACATTATCTCTACCGTGGAATGTATTGTTGGGACAAAACAACACTGGGATAGAGCGTAAGGTTGCTAAATACATATTCTTGAAGGACAAACATGACCTATACCAGTTCGGTGATCTGTATAAAATGATACTGCTCATAGGAAAATAAGTATCTCCATGCATCATATGTCCCTTTGTATACAAATACAGGTATGTGATATAAATGCAGAGAGAATAGAAAATTAATGTCAAATTCCTACTAATGGAAACACTAGGGAATGGTAATGTGGAAAAATGAGAAAAAGGAACTTAAATGTTTTATCTCACATAAATCTACTCTGTGTATGAATCATTCAAAATAAATTATGTTGGTTATTTCTCTGTTAGGCTAAGAGTCTAGGGGAAAATAAGTGTGCTGGATCTTTTTAGGGAATATTTAAATGGCAGAAATATATTTATTTTATAATAGGAAGTGGGGTGAATTTTGCTTCTCAGGATGTCATTGGAAAATATGATACATTTACAAGACAGAAAGAAGCCCACAGCTTAATCTGAAGTGATCCTTTGCTATTAATTGGCTCATATTCAAACCAATCCCACCATTATCAACAATCATAATAGAACTCTGTTTTGTCAAGTAACTGGAAAACAAAGAGAACTCCTCTTTTTAAGGGTCAGGTGCTTATGCATTCTAGTGCTCATAAGGTCCCTGCTCACCTTATAACCTGCATTACAGGAAAGGCAGGGTATGTTTTTGCATAGTGTAACCAGGAAAATACACATGGTATTTCATTCTTGCTTTTACTTCCCTAGACGGAATGCTTATTTTTGTGTTAACAGAGGTGGCTATTGAGAAAGGAATAGTACATGAAGTGACACAAATTGCAACTTGCAACTTCATCCAGTGTGGTAATTATCTGGGCTGGGCACACTTGACCATGTTTCTATGGGTATATCACCATGTATCCTCACTTCCTCCCTGCTTCTTCCTTCCTACCGATCTTGAGGTGGTATCAATAAAAGACTTCTCTAGAGTACAAAAAGCCACTGAGCCATAGTCCCCAGGAAGCAACTCACCATCACGTTGAGGCCTCCTGGCTTTGGACACATCATTTGTTCTACTTCTCCACCATGAAGCTCAGCCCAAAAGCCATCACCTCCTGCATCACTGCTCCTGACCATGCTGCTTCCCTCCACTACTGGACAAAGTAAGAGAAACTTGGGTTAGTCCAAAGGCAGCAGCCTTGCTTCCCTGCAGCTATGGTTGCTTCTGCTACAGCTATGTCTGGGAATCAAACTGTCTGTGGGCCTTGAGGCTACAGAAGGCTATGTCAGTAAAAACTCTAAGAAAGGTTATATGCTTAGGGGGCAACAGATACATGGGCCAGGCGTTCTGCTAAGACTTTTCCAAAGACTTGTCAGCTACACTCTCAATGGCCTTATGAGAGACACAGAATGAGAAAAATAATCATGACCAATCATGGAGTCATCCTTTCCACCCTTGGAATAAACATATAAAAGTACTCTGAACTGTGCTGCACATGTGGGAGGACAACATCTGGAATTCATCTGTGTAGCATCAGCAAATTGGAGATGATCAGTCCGGGAGCCCACTGTGCCAAAATGGAGTTGATGTAAGTCCCTGTTTCTGTAATCATTCTGGCCCTTCCGAGAGGCCTCCTCTCTCCTTCTCCACCTACAAGATTAGCTGGAGCATCATGAAGTCAATTCCAACAGGAAAGCCACGACACCCATAGATAAATTTTTTTTCTGTTTTACAGAGCCACAACAAAAGATGGGAAGAAAATCTGTCTGGACACAGAAGCTCCAAGAATCAAGAGAATAATCCAGAAAATGTTAGCACGTGAAGGGTCAGCTGATTAATCTGTTCTTGTTCTTTTATACTGCCTATCCCCATAAAAGGGTAGATTTCAGAAATCTTAACTTGCCAGAATTCTTTATCCGGAATATTTGCTGCCACTGTATTGAAATTGGACTCTGACGCAGAGCATTCCATACAGGCTGGCTCAGCACTATGACAGAAAAATGAAAACAGACGCATCCATAGGATTCTCTACTCTCTGACTCATGGCTATATGTTGGACAGTGCTTGCTTTGCATCTCCTTCTTTGAAGATTTCTTTCCAAATGTATCTGTGTTCATTGTTTTCACTGCTTCACTGTTCGAATAGACAAGGAGCAGTCTTAGGAATTGCTCAGAGCCCAGCATAGTTACTTGTATGCTCAATGTGTGTTAATAAAGATTTTGATTTCTTGGGCCCGGCGCGGTGGCGCAGTGGTTAAGGTCCTCGCCTTGCACGCCCCGGGATCCCATATGGATGCCGGTTCTATCCCGGCAGCCCCGCTTCCCTTCCAGCTCCCTGCCTGTGGCCCGGGAAAGCAGTCGAGGACGGCCCAAGGCTTTGGGAACCTGCACCCGCGTGGGAGACCTGGAAGAGGCTCCTGGCTTCGGATTGGCATAGCATCGGCCATTGCGCTCACTTGGGGAGTGAATCATCGGACGGAAGATCTTCCTCTCTCTCTCTCCTCTCTGTATATCTGCCTTTCCAATAAAAAAAATAAAAAAAATAAAAAAAGAAAGATTTTGATTTCTTAATTTTACAAGATATTGTTTCTTAGAACTCTCTTTCAGAGAGTGTTTCTGATGTTTACTTAAGCATTTGAACCCTAAAAATAATAAAGTTGTTTGATGCTAAAGTTTGTAAGTACTGATTATTTACTTTGAAATGAATATATACAACACTGGTAAAGAAAAAATAATAATAATAAAATAAAAAACTATGAATGCATTTCACTTTAAACTTCAGTACTTTTCTGCAGCAAAAATATGTTACTTTGGTGTGTTAGCATTTTACCTAACATCATGTTTCCAACTTTGGTATGAAAAACAGACTTGCAAATAAGCACAATAAAGAATTGAAATTTTACTAGATTGTAAAGTATTATTTTTTATCAACCAAACTTTTATGGTTTTAATTATTTATTCATTTATCTGAGAAGCAAAATATTAGAGACAGAGAAAAATCTTCTTTCTGTCTTCTGGTTTACTTCCCTAATGACTGAATGGATCAGAGCCAGGTCAGGCTTAAGCCAGGGGCCTGAAACCCTTTTTGGATCTCCCACAATGGGTGTCAGAGTCCCCAGTGCTTGGGTTGTCTTCCTCTGCTTCCTCAGGCACATTATTAGAGATGAGGATAGGAAGGAGAGTAGCCATGACTGCAACCAGACATGGAGCACTAGCATGCCAAGCACCAGTTTCACCTACTGCATGCTGACGCCAGCCCCTTGCTCATTTCTTAAGCCCCCAAATTCACACACACGCCATTCGTACAGAAGTGTTGGTATGAAATCAAAATGTGTCCTTTATTGATTGTGATGTTATTAGTTGTAACAAAATTTGGGGGAACATTACACTTTAGTGTTTCACAACAGGATCAAGAAAAGCTCCTAAGTGGATGATCTGTCCATTTTTAATGAAGTATAACACAACCAAAATATCATTTTAATATACTAAGCATGGTAAGTATTTCACGTATACAAATTAAATAATTCTTGCAAGATAGTCATGTTCTGGTTAAGAGTATGCCTTCTAGAGCCAGAATAACTGGAGTAACCTGGTACTGCTCCTTGCTGGTTGGATAATTTCTGACCAGGTTACTTGCCTCTCTGTGTCTTAGTTTTGTGAACTCTAAAATGGGGGGTAATAACATCACCTATCACACAGAATTGAGGTGAACATTTTAAAAATTGATTCTAGCCATTTGAAATATTTTATGTGACAACCAATAAATAAATGTATATATATGTATATATATATAGTAACTTTTTTAGTGTTAACATACCCCATGTTACAAAGAAGAAAATCGAAGTTTGCGAAGATTAAGAAATATGCCCCAAGATCAAATAACTAAGTGGGTGACAGACTGGGATTTAAAATTGTGCTCTTAAGAACTGTGCAGTACTACTGTTTTATTATTTCTCTGATGAAAGCATTATGTCATACATAACATACATTGTATTATTGGCACACAAACTAGGACCTGGTATGTAAATAACATACTACATACACTGCATTGGTTATAGGAAAAATAAGTTTGCTTATTCCAACCTGAACAAGATTTTGTGAAGTTTTCATGTCATTAGCATGTACTACATAAACTTCATGTTACTGGAGATTTGCTTTGTTATTTTCTTGCTATCATGGACTCAATGCTTTAAAATGCACTTTCTTAAAAACAAAACATATTAAGCAGTTGTTAACCAAAAACAGATGCATATAATGAAACAATAAATAGGTATTTTCCTCTTTTCTTTTTTTTCTCCCTCCCTCCCTTCCTTTCTTCCTTCGAAAGACAATTACAGAGAGAGAGAGAGAGAGGGAAATGTTGAAATTCTCCATCTATGGATTCACTCCTCAAACACCTGCAGTGTCAGGGGCTGGGCCAGGCTGAAGCTAGAAGTAAAGTGTCCCATCTGGGCATCCCACATGGGTGGCAGAGGTCCAAGGACTTGGAATATCCTCCACTTCCATTCAAGGTGCATCTGCAGAGAGCTGTTAGAAGCAGCACAAACTCCAACAGGCATATTGAGATGCAGTCACTGCAGGGGATGGCTCCACCTGCTCATCCTAGTCTTTCTTTCTAGTTCAAAATAGGCATGATTCACAGATGATAGGTGTCGCAGTGTTTGCCCTGGGTTTATAACTACTGAGACACAGGTGCCTTTTATTTGTGTCTGCATATGTCTAGCTTCTCTTGGATGTGTTCAATCAACCCTGCACATATGGAAAATTAGGGGTGTGCTGCCCCTCCATATTCAAAATGATACTGCCCTATCCTTTAATTTTGCTGCTAACCTGGAAGAGCCTCATGAGCCAGTTCCATAAACACATGCAAACTTTGTATGTTCTACAGTGGCTGTTGTGTAGGATGGTGTGTGTTCAGCAATTATGTCCCAGAGAATTGGCTCCAAAAAGGTCACTATCTCTGGGAGAGACAGACAAGCAGACACGTCACCACAGTTGATCACAATGTCCGTTAAAGTGGAGAAATCCTCCAGTTGCTCAGACATGATGATGAACCACATCATTGCATTTTCAACCTTTTTCATCCTCCTGAATGAAGCATCTTTGTGTTGAGTTCCTTCCAATGTGCTAAAATAGTGGTAGAGCAGAAAACCCCAAGAAGATAAAAGGAAACCTCATAGAGCTTTCCATTTAGGGAAAGAACCCATTTTAAGCTCTTTTAAACACTCTCAATCCCATGTAGGGAAAGAATGCATTTTAAACTCTTTTAAACACACTCACATCTCTGTATGCATAATATGTGCATGTGTGTTTGTGTAATCTGTGAGAAATACAGCAGAAGATGCTGCAAGACGGAGCAGGGAAGCGTAACAGAAAGAGCTGTCAGGGAAGACCCTGATGGTAGAAGCTGACACCCCAGAAATGGGACTAGGACTTAATTCTGAAAAGACAATGGATGAGACCGCAGAAGAAAATTCTAGGCCTAAGAATTAAACTGCATTTTCCTGCAGGAGTCTTGCCTTTCATGTTGAGCATGAAGCTGTCTGCTTGTCCCTGCAGCTGGGATTCTGACGCTCTTCCCCACCCTTCTTTGGAGTGATGGGAAGCCTAGGGTTTTGGAAGGAGCATGCATTTGGGGGATGTAGCCCAGCCAGTTCTTCTTGTCTTCTCCTCTGAGCTACTGTCCGGGATGGAGCTGCATGGAAAAACACTCAAGTGCTAAGACTTTATGAAAAAAAAATATATATATTCCAATATCGCTTGTAATTTTTCTAGGCGTAAAAGTGTTGAAGCTAATAGACATTTCTTGGAGTGCTCTGACTGCCTCCATCCTGTTTCTGTTTGGTTTTTGTTCTCTTATTGGTTTGACATAGCACAGCTCAGTCTTGGCAGAAGTGTCAGCTTCCGTTAGGTGGCTCATCACCCTTCATCCCAGGCTTCCGGACGAGAGGTTCAGGGAAGATAAAATGGGTCAGCAGCTTTCCTGCAGCCACTGACCACGGAGCCCCAGCCTGCCTTTCCTTTCGTTCTGCATCCTGCTGCAGTCCCAGCAACATGAGCCTCCCAGCGGCCTTGGCAGGACCCCGACCGCGACCCATGCGCTGTCTCTTGCTCCTGGGACTGCTGCTGCTGCTGCTCGCTGTAGTGGCAGCCTCCAGTGGTGAGAACCCATGGCAGGGGAGGTGCCAGAGGGCGATGTGGAGGAAGTGTGCGCCTTGGGGTTGGTTGCGCGGCAAAGAACTAATTTACAAGGTCCTGCTTCTCTTCGATGCACCCGTAGGTAGCACTAGCGCCCCCTCCGTGTGATTGATTCCGCAGTCAAAATGACCCCTAGTCTTGATGCATTGCGAAGGGAGTGGGAAAGATCCCTGAGGCGCCTCGGGATACCCAAAGTTACCACTCCCTGCCAACTTCTGTGCCCTCCTCAGACAAACCTGAAGAAGAAAGAGAGGAAGACTTGCATTGCGTTTGTGTGAAGACCACCTCCCGCGTCCGTGCCAGGCAGGTCACCAGCTTGGAGTTGATCAAGGCGGGACCGCATTGCCCCACTGCCCAACTGCTGTGAGTTCCTGTGCCGCTCGCGCGCGGTGCCCAGCCAGTGCCTCTCTGCGCATCCCACCCTGGCTAATCCCCGCTTCCAACCAGATGACTGACGCTTTCCCTTTTCCCTGGCAGAGCCACGCTGAAGAACGGGAGGAAACTTTGCCTGGACCCAACGGCGCCCCTATATAACAAAATGATCAAGAAACTTTTAGAGGGGTGACTACGTGTTGCCTACCTCTGTTTCCTGGCCTTTCTTTCTTCCATTCCCTTTCTATCAACTTGTGTAAGAATTTTCTGATGTTTATACCATCTTCCAAATTTCAAATAAACAAATAAAAAGAAGATCGTTGTGTGGTCAAACTGTTTTTAAATAGTGAAACAGAAAACAAAGTTGACATATCACGATTTCACATATAAGAAAAAATTGTAGAACTGAAGCAAAAAATAATTTCAAGAAAGGTATTTTTTACCAAAAATTGAAATGTCTATGAAGAAGTCACAGGATGTAGTTAAGAACCCGCACTTTTCCATTAACATATTGTTAATCAATACCATGTCAATTAATGCATGAGGCTGTAAATGGTTGTTGATGTTATGTCGGGTCTTTTAATTGATTGGGATAATACTTTGCTGGCTTTACCTTCAGACCAGAGATGGTCTCCCCATGAAATCGTTGAACCCATTAGGATA